CCCGCCCGCCCGCCGCTCGAGCGCCCCGGAGCCCGCTCGGGGTTCTCCCTCGCGAGCCGCCGTACTACGGAGCAACCAAGCTGCGCTCCCTCCCTCTCCTCCGCTCCTCTATTCCTCCTTCGCTCCCTCCCTCGCTCCCGCACTCCCGCCTATCTCCTCATCTCCTTCGGCGGCCTCCTCCGCCCCCCTCCAGCCTCCTCCGCCCCCCTCCGCCCCTCTAACTCCGCCCGCGAGTGGGTGGGGCCAAATCGACAGCCAATGGCAAGAAGGGATCCGCACCGCCTCACCGCCCCCTACCGCTAGCCCCGCCCACCACGGGGACGGAGGGCGAGAGAGCTGAGAAAAAAAGGCGGAAGACGGAGTGACAGCCGAGTAAACCAATCGTCAAGCGCGGAGGGGGCCCGAGTCGGCGCCCTCCCACCCCGCCCCTGCCCAGAAGGCGTAACCGGAGACTTCTGGACTAGCCGTTCCATGATCGAGATTATAGAGGTTTTGTTGCACCAATTCGTTTCTTCTGTCCGTGGCCGGGCGAGGCACTGGTTAGAATGCATTCAACTTAGGGGCGGACCGTTACAAAGGAGAAAATGTGGCGGCGAAAAGAGAGGCGGGGCACCACCCAAGGTGGGGGATACGGTTGGAATGAGGAAGGGTGTGGTCTTGCTTGAGAATTTGCATAAAACGGGACCCATCTGGCAACTACGACTTCGCCCAGTTATTGGCAGCTCTGCTGCGGCGCCTCACAGCTCCGCCCACCAGAGCATGCCGGGAGTTGTAGTTTGGAGTTCGGTTGCTATGGCGTCTCCCACAGCCTCCGGAATTTCAAGAGTGACGGGCGGGCTGACCAATGGGAGCAGCTCCTAGGCCAGAGGGGGCGAGCTTGCCGCAGAAGGACTCGAAGGTGGCGGTGGCGAAGGCGCAGGCAGTTGGAGCCGCTCGCAGGCAGGTGAGCCTGGGGGAACGCCTTGCGAGTCTTTGGAAACCCTGCTATCGGTGAAAAATCGTGAGACGCCTCACGGAGCCGACCAGTCCTGGGGGGCAGATGGCTTGTCGCCCTTCAAGCCCATAGCCCCTCGCGCCCGGGCCTAAAGCCGCCGTGGCCGCCGAGGCTCTCCGGAGTCTGTATGTATTTAAAATTTCAGGCTGGTGTCGCCTCCGAAAATAGCACTGACAATGGCAAAGTTCTAAAGGAAACTTTCACATTTACGAAGCTATGAAAATCGCCAGTAGCCTCCAACTCCACGCAGAAGCCGCTAATCAGGTTCTTCAAAAGCAAAGCCTCCTCCAGCCTGACTCACAACAAAAGATGCCCATAGGAAACGTAATCTACGAAGTTGTTTTTCCAACCCAAGGCAAACAGAAGTAAAGGAAGGTGCAACCCGTTCCTCGTAGGCTTCCTTTTCCTGGGGATCCTGATTACATTTCCTTGTTCGGGCGAGAAGAGACCGCAATTGTGCTCGGGTCCACCCCGAGAAGCCGGGTCTGTGCGCAAAAACGGGAAGGCGAGGTGCAGCGGCGGGGACGCGCCGCGCGCAAAGGCGAGCGGCTCGCCGTGAAATACCGTCAGTCAGCCCGGCCGGCCCGCTCGGGGCCAACGGCATTGACCGTCCTTCACTGACAGGGAGGGAGTCAGCGGGCTCCCGCGAGGAGAGA